GAGAGCCAGGAAAAAGTACAGCAGGAGAGTGTTTCTGGGAGACTGGACAGCAGAAGGTGCTGGTGTAGCGCAGGTTTATGCACTTAGTAGCTGTGGAGCTGAGCTGCCCAGGTTGAAGGTTTTGCAGCTGGAAATGCAAGGGAAGTGGCTGGAGGTAGGACAGTTTCTGCAGTACCTTGTGCTGGTCATGTTGGTTAATGACTAGCCAACTTTCTGTGGTGTTCAGACAATTCTGTTGCGTGGGCCAGGTTTTTGTGCTTGCGGGTTTGCTTTTTGGTCACTCCCCCAGAAGACTCGTGTGCATTCATTGGAAATGAACATTATCTAAAGAGAGTAATATGGTACTTAAAAATGTAGCTAAAATATGGGTAAAAATGCACTTCATGTTCTCATTTTTACAAGCATTTTTGTTCCATGTAAGTCAAGTAACAGTAGTATTTCCTTTGTGCTCTACTCCTTTCCAATCTTTAAAACAAAATAGAAGACCAAAATTAGATAGAAAATTAAAATACTTTTGAAATCTCAAGAACGGAATTGGAATGAAAAAATACGAAATCCATGATGTGTGTACACTTGTGTGAGACAAATTCTTTTATAAATATAATATGGGCATATGCATTTGGAACATTTCCATATGGCATATGGAACATTTCCATAGAGCTTCAGTGCACCTTGCTATATTTCTATTTTTGCTAATTGTTTTTAAAATAATTTCTGTTTTCTTTTTCAACATCTTGGGACACTGCATGCATTAAAATATGCAGAGATAAACTCTATTTGAAGAAAGACACAAGTGATAATCTTAATTCAGTGTTTTTTGTGTAACCTGATTCCTTCTGTGTATGTCCTCGGTATTCTAGTCTAGATCTAATCTGAAATACAAGACTAGATGGCATAGAGAGTCTGGCCTTCAGTCAACAAAACCCTTTTCTGCTGAGAAGTGAAAGATAACGAAAAAGATGTAATTACTGTAATGATGGGTTAGACCTTTAGATTCATGCTGCAATCAGTGATTCCTGTGGTGCTCTGCTGCAATCATGGTTTAGTGCTGACTGGAGAGACAAGACAGGTAAAGACTGTAAAACACTCCATCAGCTCTTTATCTGGATGCCTAGAGAGGAGTCACACCTCTCATTTGCACATATGGGTGCTGGCTCCAAGCTCAAGGACAGCATAGTGGATTGTCTTGGAAGGAACATCTTGGAATATTTTTCAAGTGTGTAAAAAGTAAATGAAATCTCTGTAAATTACTCCCTCCCTTCTCAACACACAATAGTAAACATTTTAATTTTATGAAGCTGTTGTGTCTGCCATACATGCACACACACACATAAATCTGAGCATCAGAGATTATATATATTTATTAATCCCAATTTAGTCTTTATTACCCATATTATCAAAGTAAAAAATTCAATTGTATAGGTCTATGCTTGCCAGAGCTGTTAAAGTACTGTCAAATCAATGCCAAAATAATTCTAAATACATTCAGAATTTCTTACTTCTTATTTTATTCTCAAAGTCAAGCTTGAAAATGTGTGTACAGTGTTAATAAATAATTTTATTTTTATTCTGAATTTGAAAGATTGTTGGATTATGGATTTAAAGTAAGTATTTCCAGATGATGCTGATGTGACTCTACAATAATTTTATAGCCATTTGGGATAAAGGGTATTGGTCCTAATTGTGAAACTCTTACTGGTGCAATTAATCCTCATAACTGTGAGCTGTGTCACAGGAGTCAACTGGAACTTCTGCATGAGTAATGGTTGCAGAATCAGCCTCAGACATTTAAATCATTACTATCCCTGGAAAACAACTGAAGATTAGCTCTGGTATTAATAGTTTTATGTGGACGTCACAGAGATTAAAAGCAGATGTTTTCCAGAAGTACATATGTTTACCTTCCATGGTCTCCAAATGTCATAATCCATAGAAATGTTATTATTTTAAATTTGAAAATGAGTTTTTGGCATTATTTCTCAATTTGGCCAACCTAAATAGGTACATTCTCAAAGTTGGTCAGGAGGATATCCTAGCATAATGGTATGTTGAATTCCAAGGGTGTGTTTAATTCGTTTTGCATCTTCGTTGGCACTTAAAAGGACTTGCAAAGAAAAGCAAAATGAGTAAACTGTTGATAGGACTGATCATTAAAGAAGTAAAAAAGAAGTAAAGAAAAGTTTTTGTTCACTTCTGGTCATTAATTGACAAAACCTGTAGAGAACACCTCATTTCTGGGTTTGGTGATCCCCAAAGCTGAAGAACAGAAGGGGTTATGGGAGAGCCTTAGACACCAATTCTCATGACAGAGATAAATTCACAGTGATGGTGTTACACTTCATCCCTATGTTCAGCAGGTTATTTATCTTGACTTAAAGATATTGATCCTCTAGTTCACACTCTTCTTCACAGCCTCACGACACAATGTCTCACTCACTGCATGACCAAAACCATTTGACCAGATACAACATCCTCAGTTAAAAACTACTGTATTCATGAGAAATTTCCTTATATTCCATAAGTGCCTTCATAACACAACACAAAATCAAAACGTTTTGGAGAGAGAGATTCTCTCCATCTGCTAGTTAAAAATATTTAATATAAATGACTGAGACCAAGGCTGCAGCTATTGGGAATGAGGCATTAATCTGGTTTACCTTCTCTTCTCTTAATTAGAAGCCGAAGGTAATATAAAAATACTGTTTATGTTTCAAGGAATTTTTAGTAGTGCATCATTGTCTCCATCTAAAAGGTGCAATCAAAAGGTAAATTACAGGATGGGTACACAGGTAAAGAGAGCTTTCTGAAGGCTGCACTTCATGGTCAAAGCAGACAAAACATTTCAGTAAAGAGCAGCTAGTCCCTTAATCCTCTCTGTGCTTGTCCCAAATACCAGTAGCACATAATCACCTGTACCAATCTTGTGTGTTGTGCTGGCCAGCATTCTTCTTTGTATAAAAGTAGAAGTGATCCCTCTCACTGTTTACTCAAAGCAGGTGATGAATGTACTATTTAACACTTAAATAGTAGCAAGGGCTCAAATCTGGGTTTTCTGGGTTTGTGAGTGCAGCTTCTCACAGTTGAAGAGTTCTGAAGCCAGCGCCTGAATGACATAAAGAATGATGTTGAGGTGGAATGCTGAGTAAGAGGAAAAGTACTATTGGTTTTCCACAAATTTTAGCAGTTGTAGAACCAGTGATTATGGCTTGAAACCTGGATAGGCATGGCTAAGTTCATCTGTATTTGTTATGGGCAATGGAGGATTTTGAGGAGCAAGTTTAAGGAAGATAAAATCACAAGCAGTGGGAAAAAAAAAAAAAAAAAAAAGGTACTTGTCAGAAAAATAGATGTTTGAGATAGTTACTAGTAACGCAAATGGTGCAAGGGTGACCTTTCAGCTGACAGCTCTGTAGGATGAATTGATATTAATGATGAGAGGCCTTTTAATGAAAACAGAAGAAAAAGAAGGGATAAGATCTAGCTTTAAAATCCTCTTTACTCATCAAGGTAGAATGATAACCAAGGTGCAAGACTAGGAGTGAGATTGCAGAGTGAGGTTAAAAAGTGACCCTGGCTCAGTGAATTGTTGTGGTGATGAAGGCTGAGGTGAAAAGGCTGTATTGTAGGAACTGTTGTGCAGGATTTTTGTGGTGCTCTGTCAGTCATGTTTGTGAATCTTTGGTGTTTTCATTACATGAATTCCATTAGAATTCTATGCAATGATAACAAAGTGTCAGTAGTAGTAATTTTCTTCTGCTTAAGAGCTATATCAGAAAAAAAAAAAAAAAATAAGGTTCTCCTTTATTCCTTATTATCCCAAAGAAAATTATAATCTTCCTAGATGCAGAGCTTCTCTTTCTTCCTAAAATTCTCATTTTCAATTTTCTGGTGTGAATTTAAAGAGATAGTATTAATCTCATAATAAAGAGAAAGTATTCTGCAGAAGTGGTCTTAAGGTAGTTTTGAGATAAAAAGAGAAGGAAACATATACTGTCCAGAGATGCAGTCTCTAGGGAGATTTTAGGATTGAGGAAAATGGCCTTCAATCACTCTCAGATCTGTGAAATAGCAGACTTTCATCGGGGCCAAAAATGTGCATACTTTCCAAATCTTCAATTTTTTAAAAAAATTGTCTTTAGGCATTTAGGTTTGTGATTATGTGAGCTATTTTTTTTGTAATAGCCTGCTAAGAATGGGCAGTATTCTCATTACTGGGGGGTTTCTGGGAAAGAGCTTCAAGAGATAAAGTTCATTTTAAAAGTATGGTAAAAAGTGTTCATCTTTAAACAGATAAAAAGAGCTTCTTAGATAAATATTTAATGTTAAGTAATTATCTAGAGAGTAGAGATGACTTGTGGAATAGGCAGAAGGAACAGGAAATGACAAGTCATGGGGACAGTTGAACTTAAGGGGAAAGTTTAACTATTATTAGACTTGTTATTATCCAAATCCCAGGCATATGAAGCCCAAACTACTTTACTTTTTACTTTACTTTACTTTACTTTTTCTACTTTAGACAGTAAGTTCTGTTCTGGAGCACAGTGGGCATTTCCTCTACTGGCAGTGAAGTGGTCTTATAAATGTTAACTGAATCTATATTAATAGCTGTATTTTTTCTCTTATTGGAAGAATCACTTTCTTATTCTGTACACTTGTATAGTAAAGCATCCTGACCTGAGGAGGAGGCTGGGCTGGAGTATCCCAAAAGATTTCTTCCAACCTCAACAATTCTGTGACCTGTTTCATGAAGCTCATTTTCTGTAGATATTCTTGTAATCCTGTATTTATCTGGCTCACACCAGTGAAGAAAATATGATCTCTCGAACTTGTAACATGATCACACTGCAGTGGGCAGTTAGTGGTCCTACCTCTTATGTCAGTGTTTTCACATGAAGATGTAAGGAGCTAGAATTGTGTGCAATTAGTTCACTTTACAATATTCACAAGAGAGGAATAAATTGTGACTTTTTGTTCCTATTTTTGTTTTGTTTTCCCTGCAGCCGGGCCTCTGGAACTTCCTCTCTTCGAGCTGATCCCATCACAACGACAGGTGGTTTTCCATGGGGACCGCTTGCCTTTTCAGTGTACTGCAACCTACGTGGACAACACCACCCAAGTGCACTGGTACCACGCGGGGCGCCTGGTGGAAACCGACGAACAGAGCGGCGTCTTCGTGGAGGACAGCATCATTCACGACTGCTGCTTGATTACACGGTAACACACACCTCTCCTGGTAGCCAGGCTTGCAGGCAAGGGGAGCAGATTGGACACTTGCAGCGAGCCTCAGGAAAAAGTGCGTCAGGAGTTATTTAATTTGAAGCAATTCAATTGCGTGCTTGAACCTGAGCACAGAGGTAGAGGATTTTCATGGCTACGATTGGCTGTGGTTCCAAATTGTACTTTGTGTAAGTGTCTACATTTGATCATATATGGTTTGAAATGGATAAAAATGGTTTGTTATGCAGTAAACCATGAGAAGAAACATGAAAAAACAAGAAAAGCTTCTGTAGCATATGAGAGTGACTTACAGGCCAGCTGCTTCTTCATGGAACCATCTAGAAGTCTGAGTGATGGACCTATGAAGAACTCTTAATTGAAAAGGCTTGGATTAGTTTTTGTAGGTTCCAATATGCTATATCCTATATTCATTAGTTAAGTAATCTTTTTGTTTCTTATTAAATATTTTCCAATTTTCTGTGACTTTTACCATCTCTGTGCCTTTGTGCTTGAGAGATACAGAGATCTACAGATGCACTTGCTGATGTGAAAAGTGCAAGAGGAATGAAGTAGAGTAGGCTTATAGAAAGGAAGCAGAAACGAATTATTTGGCAGTGACTGTAATGTTCCAGTTTTGCTTCAGTTTTCCTGTTAAACATTATTTAATAAATTATAAATTTCAGTGTTTATTTTTGGGTTTCATCACAGAGTATTGGCTTGTCACTAAAAGCTGCTAAGTTGTTGCACACATCCTTTTGTCCTCTGCCAGTTTCCATCATTGATCAAAAAGAGAGTCTGATTCTGTGTGCATGTTCTGCCTTTCTCTTTGTAGAAGATGGAGTGAAAATAGCTATGCTAATTAGCTCTGGATAATCATTAACATCTTTTCACTCAAACAGTTTCTATTAATATAATTGACCTGAAATGCTTCTTGAACTATCAAATAGAAGTTGTGAAGGAAGTCAAATTAAATCCTGTCCACTGGGGACTTTTGGCTTTATTAATTTCATCTACCCACTGATTATTTGACCCCTTTTGGAGTCCTGTAGATCTAGAGGCACAGATCTGACCCATCCTCACAGCTACTGGCTTTCTTCTGATATCAATGAAAAGGACTATTAGACCAATTAGTACAGTAATGCCAAGTGCATGAGCTATTATATAACTGCCGAGTCACTTAAATTAAAGCACGATCTTCCTATTTCCATTATATCAAAATTAAAAGACATGCTGTTAATCACCTCATTATGTTTTCCAACTGAATTATATTTTGCACTGTTTAAGCAATTTGTAAAGCATAGCAATAAACTAAAATAGTCTAAAATAGTTTTTGAAATTGCTATCCCTTTTAAAAAGCTGTAAGTAGCTTGATTGATTTTTTACCTTACATTGCTTCTTTTTTTCTAGACTGTAAAATAAAAACCATTGTCTTGCATAGCATATTTTAATAAGGATGGTTGATCTCCTGCCTACCTCGTTTGCCCACTGTGCCATTTAATAGGTGACCTTGATGCTGATGGTGCAGTATGCCCGGGAATGTGCAGTATGCACATCTATTCAGAAAAAATGTTCTTTAAATACACCATCACTTTTACTGTTACAGACTGGAAAAATACTCTGACTTGCCCAAGTTATGCGATACAGACTGTTAAAATAAGACCAAATATTCTTGAATAAAATTCAAAGTGCTTAAACAGCTGTTTAAAAGCATGCAACATTTTAATTCCTCACTTACATGGCACTTCATAAGATAGAAGGGCATCAACACGGCATTTACCATAGAGCATAGTCCTTATCCAGCCAAAAATGTTAATACTCCAGCAGCTGTGCCTCTGCCTTGATCTAGGTGCTGATCAGAATTAACTTAGTAAAGACATACTTTAGAAACTATTGTAAAAACTGTAGTACTTTGAAGTAATTTTTTTTTAAACACAAAGACGTGTATTGTTAAAAATAAGAAAAGATTGGCAGTGTTGTGGCTGTTAAAATTATCTTCAGCATTTCTTAATTTTAATCCCATCTTTATGACTATGTACATTATAATTTATATAATCATTATCATAACAAAATAATATGTAATAGCATGCTTGTTACATGATACAATAGCACATATTAGTATGCTTGTTACATGCTGTTACACACTAATTTGTGATAGTTCTTAAGGCTAAACCATGGTTGTACAAGGCACAGAAACATCAGAAAGACTGTGCCTCCCTGAGGCTATCAAATGTTAAGTATATGATTTGGACTAAAAATAAAGGTAACCTGAAATCAGTTCTTACAGTATCACATTTTGCCTTTGCATACCTAGTCTTTACAGCAAATGTCCCCTGTCTGTGGCTTTCTGTAATTGCTCTAAAGGACAGACTTTGGCCTGTGCTACTTAGCAATTTAAAGATTTCTATAGCTGGTTTTGAACAAAGAGGTGTAGTCATGCTCCAAAAGCTGCTTATTCAAACATTTTTAGGTGGTTATTTTATTGGGTAGTTCCAGATATTTCTGGACATGGATTTACAACACAAATATCATGCTAAGCCCTTCTGTTTTATTAACTGGCACGGTAGAAGGATAAAATATCCAAATGTGTATTTTTTGTCTCCTATGATAAAGCAGAATAAACTAAAATAAATATTTTTGTTACAATAATTAAACTAAAGTTTTGAACTGTATTCCGGTCTGTGACATTTTTCTTGGCAAGGAGTATTCCCTTACAGGAGATCTTGAAAAGGTGTTTTCAATTCTGCTGCTAGCTTGCATTTATCATTTCTTGCCAATGATAATAATATTTGATTTTGCTGCTGTTTAATTTTCTGTCATTATGCCTGTGTACAAATGTCATAGTCATATATGAAAATATACATATGATGTGAGACTAATTTCCTATCATTTGTGAATGGCTTTAGATGGATTTGTTAATGGTGCTTCCATGAAGACAGGCTAATTTCTTTAACCTGGAATACTGTATCAGTTTAATAGTAAGCAGTAATTCTAACTCAACACATTCTGATTCTCTGATATCCCTGAAGCCACATAGAGGGAAGGTCATGTAGGATTCTCTTTCCCAGCTCCCCACTGTTCCCTTTCAGTGCTTGGAGAAGCCAGCAGGACAGTTATTAGAATATTAAACTAGAAAAGGGAATTATTTTAGTTCTATGAACCAAAAAACTCCTCAGTGGCAGAGATAATTTTCAAGAAGTTTCTTATTTACCACAAAGAATATAATGACAATTTTGAAGTCTTTTTACTTCTATTCTGTAAATACTTGTGTAGAGTGTTTAACAGTGCTGATGCCCCAACAGCTGTAATAGCTGCTCTGGGACCATTAGAGTTCACAAGTGCTCCTTCTGAAAACATTAAACTGTGAAGAAAGTTAAGAACCCATAAAAAGGAGAGCTACAGCTGGGGAAACCAACATGCCCTCAACTAAACCTAGGCTAACAGGTGCTAGGATCTAAAGTTGTTTTCAGATGTAATTTTTGTTGAATAGATAGATTTGCCACTGGAATTCAGACTCTTAGGACTGAATTTTGATCCCCTGAAAATTGTGTTTTTCTATTATAGTCTGTCCTAAGTATCTCAGTCTTTTAAAAACAGTTGACAAAGCCACTTTATTTTGTGGGGGTTTTTAATTAAAAAAAAATCAGTTTAATAATCTGCTTTTTTTAATTCTCTAAGTGCTTCTTTACATTGTGACAGTAGCCACTGCCAAGTAAACAATTAAATAAATAGTAATGTTTGAGATGAGAGGTATAAGATTATGTGAAAATCTCTAAAATGTGCAGAAGAAAGAAGAAATTCAAATCATCGTCCACTTGTAATAGCAAAGTTACCCCAAAAAATTCAAACAATTCAAATGTTGTGGGTTAAAGCTCTTGATCATAAATTAAGTTATCCAAACAGGAGGTTGAGTCCAGTCACTACTTTTTTACTGTTTTAAATTATCACTGCAGATAATTAGATATTAGTAAATAATGCAGATATTGGTAAAGAATTAGGAGTTTGATTGAGACAGTTTCAGTAGAAGAATAAAGATCGTTTAAGATATGAATTATTAGAAAAAGAAAATTGATTCCAGGAGAAGACAGGTGGCATCATGGCAAGTTTGAGATCCAGGCAGACACTTCGTATAAGAAAGAATAAAATGCTTCCAGAACTTGTGTGTGAAAGGCAGAAATTGAAGGCATGAAATGATCTGGGTGATCCCTAAACTTAGTTAGCAGTTTGGGTGGAATACATCTGGAAAAGATACGAAACAAGTAGTGGTTTGAACTGGTCCTAGATAAAAAAGAGTCTGAAAAACCCTGATAAGGATGTTGGTAGGTTGGATACTTGACTGAATGTTCAGATATGTACCAAATCATGGCAGAATATTGGAAACTGCACAAGATTAACAAGATTAGAACAGATCCAAGTGATTTGATTCACAAATGCAGGCATTTTATGATCACTTTGTGTTCTGCTGTCATGAGTATTTTGGAGAGGAGCAGCTATGGGTCATACTGAGAAACCCAGGGAGATAAGCAGAAATTGTTCAGTGCTGATATTTTTGGTTTACCTACTTGACCCTGTTTGAACTTTAGCTGTCAAGGAGTTAGGAAACAAATGAAGCAAAATAACAGTTTAAATTGTAAATCAATATTTCTGTATTATTTTGGGGTCACTTTAAACCCTGTAGACAATGGTCTATGACTCGTTTCAGGCACTGGAGGCAGAAAAGGACAACTGACAGATGCTACTTCACCAGCAGTGTTCTCATATATCAGATAGGAAGATAATATTTTAAATTATTGCAGAATATTATGAAATGCCCAGGGTAAAGGTTTCATTACGTGAGATTAAGAGTACCTTCATGTGAATTAATTTGGAAGATTAATTAAACTCAGGTCTTTTATCTAAAAATATTTCAATTACCTGAATAAAAGTCAATGACAGTTTTACTACTAATCAGTGTGAAGAATATTTTAAAATATAACCTGTGGAGAGACTACTACAATGAAAAACAAAAGCAGCAACTACAATACCCTCTGCCATTAAAGTAATAGACTGTTACCTATGAGTTATGCTTTGTCATAAAACCTGTAGACTTAATTTGGATAAGTGCTTATTGAACCATGATTGAAAAATAGATATTTTCACCCCAAAAAAATAAATAAAAATTGGCTGATAGAATTAAAATACTCTAGAAAAATAGTAAGTCGGAACTGTAAAAACATTTTGATGGAGTCCTTGAAGAATGTTATATACTTTCTTTGGTGTTGAGACCAGATTAGGAAGATGCCTTGCACTAAATTTTGACCTCTCACTTCCATCTCTGCTTATATCCAGCAGCTATATATGGGTCCATCCAGCCACAACACTGAAATGTTCAGTAGTGAGAACAAAAATTGATGCTTTATCCCCCATAAGGGAGAATCAGAGGGTTTTGCCTTGACTTTTTAAGGCCAGAATGATTTTAATGTGGCCCTTCAAACAGCTGCAGCTGCACAGCTGAGATCTGGCTGCACTATAGCAGCAGTTTGGAGTCAACATCTCAGGGCTGGATTTTTCTAAAGTACTTTTCCTGCTGGATCATTCTAAAGTACTTTTCCTGTCAACATCAATGTTAGGTATAATTATACGTTTTCTCTGAGTCCAGGCAGGAGTTTGTAAATCTGTGAACCAAATGTGAGCATTACCAGAGCATTTATGATATACATCCGGAATCTGATGCCAGGTGAACCACCCTAAATACTGTGAGGCAACAATTTCTTCAAACAAACACTTTCTAGAAATATGAAAACAGCAGCTGTTTCGATCTGTTCAATGTAGAACATTGAATGTACATCGAGAATGTCTTGTAGGGCATATTATAATTCTCGTTAACACACTGGAATTCCATGAAAATAAGTCCTCTGAACTCCTTTTCCTCCCTGCAGGATTAAATACCCCCTATATTTAATTGTTTATGGTATTGTGATTGGGTGGCTCCTGGCCATTACAAAGTAAAGTTTACACTGTAGGAGATAGACCACATACTGAGAAAGAACTGAGGTCGTTCCTGAAGTTCTTACATAGGAAACTGCTATGTCTTACCTTCATTTTAGATCTTTCCAAATTTCTTGCCAGTAAAACAGGTCAGTATTCTAACCCTAACATATCAGCCAGCCCATAAAGTATTTATTAGATAATTAATTTCTGCATTTTTATCATGTCAAAGTAATATGCATTTGACAAATAATTTGAAATTGTAAAATTATTTTAGTAGGGTATTGGTTTCCTTTTGTGTGTTGTTTCAGGGTTTTGTGATTGTTTTGGGTTTTTTTTGCTGGTCCCAGTGGCTTGTAATCAAATAATCAAGAATTGTCATACGCAGATTAACACTTCTGAGTCATCTGGGAAATATTTTACTTTGAAAGCTTTTTACACAATTTTGGCTATTGGTCTGATTGGTGTTATTTTTGTCTAAGAATCTCTGATAGTGTACAGATCACAGGAGTTATGCTAATGCAATAAAGCTTCCTCTGAATACAACATTCCAGCATACAGGCTACTTAAGGGGAGATGAAAGGCATACAGCATGTGTAGCACCATTTCCCTGGAAGACTGCAGTTGTATCCATCCTGCAGTCCATCAGCCTGCAGGTAGAACAAAATTAATAACAATAAACACATCTGAGCATCCCTAAACCTTTCACCAACTGACAGAGCAGCTCAGTTACAGACAACTGATTTGTGAAGTTCTTTAAATGAGCCCTGGCCCAGGTGTGCTCTCTTCAGATAGCTTAATGGCCCTGTGCTACCACAGACCTGCCAGCTGTCTGAAGGTTTATCTGGCAGGAGAAACTTTTGGGTCTCTAGAGCTGTTGATCCTTTTCTTTTTCTCACCCCACTTAGGTTCTCAGCTAGCTAGACTGGCATGTATTGACTCCAGGACTGTGGGAGTTTGAAGATAAATACAGAAATCTTTATGTACACCCTTCAGTGCAGAAGAGCAGCTGATTGTCTTTATCTGACAAGCTCAAAGAGTGAGAATGAGCTCATACAACAAAGCCAGCATGTTGTGATATGATGTAGAGATGTTTAGGTTTCTGGTGTAGTACCTGAAGATGGTTTGGTAGAGTCACTCTAATATTAATAGTGTTTGCTTGCTCAATTTTATGAAAGAAATTGATGGCATGTAAGTCACAGGTACTTTGATATCCACCTATAGAAACCATATCTCACTGCTGACTGTGGGGCAGCAAGTGGATATCAGCCTGTGACAGTATTTTTGAACATCTGCATTTCAGTTTAAGTAATTTGAGCAATATAAAGGAAATAAAGTGAGATTGTTTTATACCTGACATACAGCTCTTTCCTCCTATTTTGGAAGTAGGTTTTTGTTTGGTTTGTTGGGGTTTTTTTTCCCCCTCTGTTTTGGTTTTTTTCCTGTCAATATATTGTTATTAAATCTAGGTTCTTTCCAACTCTTTTCTTGGCTCTAGCATGTGAAAAAATGATATAAATTATAGAAAAAAAGTATGTTATAGCATATTACATTTCTTGGGTACCTACAGATGATATTAAATGGTAAGTTAAGCTTTGTGCAATCAAAAGACAAAAAATCATGTCTATTGCATTACCTCTGTGTAT